GGTATTTCAGAGACTGATTTGACCAGAAATTTTAAAAAATATTCTCACATCTAAAACCCTCTTACTAAATTTAACAGCCAGAAGCTAATTTAGCAGTGATGGTCTGAAATTCAGTGCAACGAAAACATATCCTAAGTATACGATGTGTAACAGGATATTCTCAGCTGTCTCTGCTGTTCTTCACCCTTGTCTTTTGTGAAGAAAATGTCACTCAAACCATGTCTTTCAATTCTTCTGTTCTTTACACATGAACCTCAGCAATAAATAACGGGGCACTGAGTAATACAATTAATTTTGTCCTTATCTGAAATGCTACAGTCAGCCTAGTGCTGGCTCCCTATGCAGTGAAGTTATGCAAAAGGAAAAAAAAACCAAAACACATTTTCTAGTTTGCTGAGAATATACAAATACATATTAAATCTATTAGGAACATGTTCCTAGACAGTTTTTACAAATACAGAAGGAAAAGAGTGTTTTTTTAAGACCAGTTATTTCCACAAATCAACATGATTACTTAGATGGTTATGTTACTTTATGGCATCAGACCTTTAAAAATCACACTCTGGTGTCTTCCCTACCACAGCAAAAGTTTTCCTGGTTAATTTTCTGTTACAAAGTAATAAACCAGAAAGACTCTTTACACAAACAAATCTCCAGCTTCAAGTAAAGGTCTCTGTTTTGTTTGATTTCCCCTTTTTGTTGTTCATGGTATGCATTTCAATACATAAGAGTGTTGATGAAATTCTTACAAAGCAATAATGGGTTGACTTCAATGTATAACAGAACCTTTGGAAATCTTTGAATAGTCATAATGAAAAAAGACAGTCAACTCCCAGTTATTCAGGAAGTGATAACCTGAAGAATCTGGCCAGGAAATTCTCCCCCTCCTACAGCCTTTTTGATCATGCCACCGCTCATCCAGAAAGGAGCAACTTGAATTAAATGATGTGTCTGTCAGTATACAGATTACCCACAGCTCTGTGGGAGGAGGTCCAAAGCTCCTGATGGCAAGGATGTGTGGGGATTGCCTGTGAATTTTATCTCTCAACGGAGAGTTGACAGTCATATATATAAGAAATATAACGCACTGACCTCGGCTGGAATCAAACTAATTTAAGGCAACACCGCTCCTCAGACATTGCTGACATAAAGTGCAGGTCTCCTCAGAAAAGTGACTCTGTAGCAGTGATAGTTTCCCAGTTTACCTCTTCCTTCTTAACTTACACAGAGTTAAATTTCAGCATTTCCAACAGCAGTTCAATGGCAGGAGCAACAGCATCCTTGACTCTTCCCTTTAATGATCTGACACACGATCGGGGACGACTGTGCGCCCCGCGCAGCATGATCAGGACAGTCTCCAGCCCGCTTCTCTCTGCCCATGTCGCCTATCATGGGCTAAGGGGAAGGTTCGCAGTTATGGCTTTAAGACTCACAGGCACTGCCAGATGTGAGGAGAAAATGGGATCATTTATCTAGTCACTTCTCTGACTAAGAGCAGTAAATAATGAACAAAGTACTTTAAAAATCTGTTTTTTCCTTTTTGCTGAAAGAACAGGTTTTTATTTTTTTTTAATGATTTTTTTCTAAAAAGCCAATGCTATCTGAATATGGCACACTGTATAGTAGAATCTACCTGATCAGTGTTCCCTTCCAACATCAACATTTCCTACAGGAATACTATTTTCCCAAGAGGGGAAGAAGCCTTTGAGTGCAAGTTCTATTCTGTTCTAAGTCCTTATGAGAGCTGATTACTCAGGAGTCTTGTTCCTTTGTCTGGCTGAAGATCTTACAGTTTACCTTTTAAGCAAATCATCAGTGAATAAATAAATAATCTTGATATTCCCCAAAGTGATTTTTATACAAAGGCAATGTTCATTAAAAATCAAGGCTCTAAAATGTTAACCACTTAATGTGGTAAACTGAATGCACCATATTATAACAGGTGTTTCCAAAAACAATTTGGCACAAGACAAATTTAGAGAATATTTGACAGTATTAAAAAACATAATTATCAGTTAAAAGTTGATTCTTTTTATACCAGAAAGTCCTGTTATTAAGGGAAAGATATGGTCCAAGTTGGCAATGAACTTATTCATCACCCAAGTTCAGCTGCAGGCCATAGTAGAGGAGAAAAGGAAAAATGGGTCCAGTTCATAAGTTTCTTTGTGAGTTCAGTGGAACACAAGGCCAAAGGTCACACATTTTGGAATGTGTTGATCTACATCCAAGTGGCCACTGCCACTCTGAAAAGGTTTTCCTCCTGGGAGCATTTATCCACATCTTCCTTTTCTCATTTAGATGTTTCTCTGTGATCAAAAGCCATATAGTCTTTCTTGCCATTCATTAGACTGTTGCTGGTTATTCTAAAGACACTTGAGAAATAGAAATTCAATGGTATGCAAAGTCACTTTCCAAAAATCTCAATGTTCTTTTAAAGCATGTGCAGCAACTGCTAGTCTCCCAGTAAAAGAATATGGCTGAATGGTTTGACACTAGAGTCACATTTTTTTTTTCCCAACTCAGAACATTTAAGCTGATCCTATCTCACCTTCCTTCCAGGCAATGACTTACAAAAAGTTAGGTGGGGAGAGGGGCTGTATCTGTCCAATATAAGGCTCCTTACCATATTGTGCTTATTCAGCAATACTGGTGTTAATAGAGCCTGGCCTCCAGAGAACAGAGGTATAGAAACAGAGTTTCCAAGGCCAGAAGTACTAGTTCACATTACAACATTAAAGCATAATACATCATGGGCCTAAAAATCAAACTGTGCTCCAATGGCAGGAATAGGAACAAAATGAATACTTCCACGTTTACATAGACATGACAAAGTGAAAGGCAGAGAATTCAGTGAAGAATGTTTGGCAGTTCCTTAAAAATACTCTTGTTAGTTGTTTCTACAGTCTCAAAGATAATTACATTATTTGAATGAGAATAAAAGGATTTAACTGGCTGAGTCTGATTTCCATCTCCTTATTCACAGGGAAAGAATTACTCTGATAGTCTTTGAAGAATGTTTGCTTTACAAAAAAATTTAAGTTAAATTAAAATATTCTAAAATACTAACCTTTTAAACACCTAAAAAAAAAATAAAATTTTCAATACACATGTTGAATTGGGTGTCACAAAGGAAATACCACCTTTGGTCAATCACAAAGACAGTTGAAACACTAACATTCTGGTTAAGTTTTAAGTGGCCTGACATTTTTGAATAAAATATATCTAGTTAGCATTTCACAGTAATAAATATAATTGAATAAAGTATATGAGAGGCAAGAAGAATTCAGAATTTAAAAAGTAAAACTGATCATTGCATGAGATATAAAAATAAACATTTATAAAATAAAAATATAGCAAATGATATTGCCCATTTGCCTAATTATCAAATAAAAATACACTGTGTTTTCTTTTGTTTTTTCTTTAAAGCTACCATAAAAAACTTTCAAAAACATGAATCAAAATCACAGGGCAGACAAAAAATCATGTAAGTCAACAAGGCCTAAGCTCTGGATATTGAAACCTCTCTGCAGTTTGACTTAAGGCCAGGACTTCCACTGTGCTTGCCCTTGACTAAATGAAGACTTTTACTCATTCCCTTCGTCATTCCAAGTCCTGCTGTTTTCCCTTTCCCCATTTCTCTGAAATGACTACCTCCCTTAGGGTTTTGTTTCTTTCTTTGATTATCATTTCCCCTAAACTTAACTCTTAGATACCTTTTACCCCAATTCCTACAATCTAAAAACTTTATGAAACTAAAGACATTTCTCAAAATGAAAACACCCAAGTCCACTCTCAAAACCACTCTTAATAGCTTCCTAATATTGCCTGACTTTAAAGACTATCTGGAGAGATGAGGCAAACTAAAGGCATTCCCCAATGGGAAAAGAATGGACTAAGAACTTTCTCTCTAGTCACCTACACATTTCTTTCCTAAACAAACACCATATTAGAATGCCAAAAACGCCAGTGAAAAATAATGGGCAGTCAAGCTGAAGGGATATTACTTATATATATAGCATAATTGACATTAGTGTTAACTAGTATAGGAAAATAAGCATTTCCATAAGGATAGAAGCTAGACAAAGACTAAATTTCTTGAAGAGGAGTTTTAAGGTCTTGTATAAAGGATCCAATGATGTGTCATTAATGAATGTGTAGAACCAAATACATGCATAAAGAAGCACTTTATCAATTTCAACTTTGCAGAATCAATCTAATTATTGGGTAATAGATAAAACATTTTTGAGATTGTCAACAAATACTGCTCTATTTTTTAAGCAAGAGGAAAACTTTACTCTATGGCCAGAGAGGACGATGAGATCATCACTTACAAACATGTCTTCCCAATTCCATTTGCCTTGGCTATAATAAGTAAAACAAGAGAAGGGATAGAAAGTTTTCATTTTTAGTTGACTTTACACAGACCTGAGTTAAGATATAATAGAAATAAACTTTTTCCAATAAATACTAATAAATGGGCAATGCCCAGAGGTTTCAGAATCCTCGTTACTGACGAGGCAATAGCAAGAAATAGAGAATGACATCTAGGCCAATTTTCCCTGGAGAGTGTATATAAGGATATGAAAAACCTTTACAGTCCTGCTAGTCAGAGTAACATATATCAACTGTTCCAAATGTGGTTTTTAAAAATACTTTATGGTTGTGATTTTTCTCTTTTCCTAAAGAGTACAAAAAAAGCAAAAGGCTCTGTCTTTCAATATATCATATACTAACTCATCCAAAATAACTATTTCTTACATTCTTTTATTCTGCATTTCACCCAAATATTTTTACCTTGATCATTATCTTTACTAAATTCTAATTGCTAAATAAAGCCTAGTTCCTAGATACCAATACTCCATACCTAAGAAAAATGGCATTTTACAGATCTCTTAGATACTATATCCCAGGAAGGATATGCAGTGTAGAGGTGGTCAATATTCAGAAGCTAGATTTTCTTGTACTGCCCAAGTGATCAGAAATAACCAAAACACCTTAAATGCATTAAAATTATTTATGGTCAGAAAAACACTTGAGGATAAATCCCAGGAATACAAACACAGGAGAGAAAAATAAGCATGGAATGCATTCTGCATCACCCAGTAATATTTGCTACAGTGAGTCCGTTTTCAAGGCAGATTCCTAGGTTTTTACGGCTTATGATGGAAACCTGGGGAAGGGAGGAAAAAAGAAGAAACACCATTAAGAAAAAATCTTTGAAAGTAAGCAATTTAGATTCAATGCAATCCCTATCAAATTATCAATGGCATTTTTTTTCACAGAACTAGAACAAATAATCCTAAAATTTATACGAACCACAAAAGACCCTAAATAGATAGTCACAGCAATTTTGAAGAAAAAGAATAAAGTTGGAGGTATCACAATACCTGAAACTAAACTCTACTACAGGGCTATAGTAATCAAAACATCATGGTACTGGCATAAAAACAGACACATGATCAATGGAACAAAATAGAAACCCCAGAAATAAACTGATACCTATATGGTCAATTAATCTCTAACAATCGAGACAAGAATATACAATGGGGTAAAAACCGTCTCTTCAATAAATGGTGCTGGGAAAACTGGACAGATACATACAAAAGAATGAAATGACTTCACTTTTTTATACAATATACAAGAATAAATTCAAAGTAGATTAAAGGCTTAAATGTAAGACTCTAAGCTATAAATCCCATAAAAGAAAACAAAGGCAGTGAACTCTTTGACATCATTCTTAGCAGTATATATATATATATATTTTTGGATATATATCCCTGTGCAAAGGAAACAAAAGATAAAATACACAAATAGGACTACATCAAAGTAAAACGTTTTTGCACAATGAAGAACTATCATCAAAAAGGAAAGACAACCTACTGAATGAAGAGAAGATATATGGTATTATCTATAATACATAAGAAAGTCAAACAACACCAAGAAAACAAACAATCCAATTAATAAATGAACAAAGGACTGGAATGGACACTTCTCCAAAGAGGACATACAGATGATCAGTAGACATATGAAAAGATACTCAACATCACTAATCATCAGAGAAATGCAAATTAAAACCACAATGAGATATCACCTCACACCTGTCAGAATGGCTACCATCAATAAATCAACAAACAAATATTGGCAAGGACGTGGAGAAAAGGGAACCCTCCTGCACTGTTGTGGAACTGTAAACTGGTACAGCCACCGTGGCAAACAGTATGGAGATTCCTCAGAAAGTTAAAAATAAATTACCATAGATCCAGAAATTCCACTTTGGGGTATTTATCCAAAGAAAACAAAACACCAATTCAAAGAGATATACATAACCTTATGTACATTGCAGCATTATTTACAATAGCCAAATATGAAAGCAACCAAAGTGTACATCTATGGACAGGTAGAATAAAAACTTGTAGCACACATATACAATGCAATAAGAAATCTTGCCATTTGCGACAACATGGGTGGACCTAGAGGGTATTATGCTAAGTGAAATAAATCTGATAAAGAAAAAAAAATACCATATGATTTCATTTATCTGTGGAATCTAAAAAACAAAATCAAGCAGAAACAAACCGATAGATCCAGAAAACAAAGTGATGCTTGGAAGATTAGAGGTAGGTTGGGAGGATGGGTAAAAAAGGTAAAGGGGTTAAGATGTACAAATTGACAGTTATAAAAACAGTCATAAAGATTAAAGTACAGCACAAGAAATATACTCAATAATATTATAATAACTATGTATGATGTCAGATGGGTACTAGACTTATTGGGGTGATCACTTTGTAAGGTATATGAATGTCTAATCACTATAATGTATGCCTGAAACTAATATAACATTGTATGTCAACCGTAATGTAAAAAACAAAAAAATACTTTTAAAAAATAAAATTAAAAATATATATATAAAACTTGAGCCCTGGCTGGTTTGGCTCAGCGGTTGGACCGTCGGCCTGCAGACCAGAGAGTCCCATGTTTGGTTCCCACTAGGGGCATGTACCAAAAAAAAAACAAAAAAACTGGAACTCAGTTTTTCTCTCTACTTAGGCAAAATTATTTATCTTTATTTCCACGCATCTCAAGTGAAATATGTTTTCTTTGTTCTTGATTGAAAAATATTTATACATCAAATCAATGTGTTATTTTAATATTATGTACCAAATATATGTCAAGAACAGGAAGATATCCCTTAGAAAGTAATACAGGTATACAGTTTAAGGGAAAAAATCATGAGCTGCTTCCAGTCAAACCAAGTATGCTAAAAAGGCCACCAAAGCATAAATATTGTAGTGCATGCATGGGTTGTTTTGATAAAGTTCAACTAATCCCATTTTTTAAAAAATGTCTTTTGTCTTATTCTCAACATTAGATGACTGTCAGAATAAAAGGGGGTTGGGGGAGAAGAGCTTTTAAAAAATACCAATAACTAGCAAACCCATCCTCTCAAAATTCTGATTTCATTAGTCTGGAGTAGCACCTGTACACTGGTTATTTTGTAATGACTGCAGGAAAAAAATTAAAGATGTTTGGGAAGACTGTCATTAGATTTGAAAAAGGATAATAAAAACATTACCTAAGAAATCTTCGAAGAAACCATAACAAATAATAAACATCAATAAGACCTAACATCTATACAGCCTACTGCAATCCGCTTTCAGATATTTCACTTATATGACACTGACAACACAAACACTATTAAAATCACCCCAGTTCTTAGATGAGGAAATTAATACAAGAATCCATTTTTTCATTATCTCATTTTATGACCATCTTAAAAATATACATTAGTGAATGCATATGCTTTGAAGAACTACGCTCAACCATTCCTTTAAAGATCTGGTCCAACTTAGATCTCACATTCTTTCCTCATTTTCCTTGCCCCATTTTCTTCTGTGTGTATGTATGTGTGTGCTTTAAGTCCAATACATAGAGTTTTGGGCAAATAGGAAACAAGAGCTAAAACAGAAAAATCCCAGGAGATCTAAATGTTGGACACAGTCCTCCTTTAAGAACCTAATGAAAGTAGCCCAGCCGGTGTAGCTCACAGTTTGAGCAATGACATGTGGACCAAGAGGTCGCTGGTTCGATTCCTGGTCAGGGCACATGCCCAGGTTGTGGGCTCGATCCCCAGTAGAGGGTGTGCAGGAGGTAACCAATCAATGTTTCTCTCTCATCCATGTTTCTCTCTCTCTTTCTCTCTCCTGTCCTCTCTCTCTAAAAAATCAATAAAACATTAAAAAAAAAAAAATCTGATGAAATCTCTCTGCAGGAAAATGAAAATACATAGAAAATCTTGCATTCTATTTAAGGGGTTTTGTTCCTGTATTTTTTTAAATTTTGTTTATTTTTTAATAAATAAAGAATATTATAATGTTCTGTTGAGAGGGAGGATAACTAATTCTTCCACTCTAGTGAATCTCTAAGACAGCATTTGATTTTTCCATCATACCTTGAGAATTACTTACAAATATCCTGAACTTGACCATACATATTTCTCTTACCTTTATGAGAGGACTCTGATTTTGAAAAATGGCGTGTGGAATACGTGTAACCCGAATCCTCAGCGTCTGCCATGGTAGGTGGTGGTGGCCTGAAGGGAAGTCTGAATTTAGAGACATTCTAAGTAGTGGAGACTACAATTCTACTGCTCATTGGATCACATGGTGAAACCATTTCTGGTACAAATGCAGAGTCAGAATGTTTTAGAATTCTCATCTTAGCCTGGCTGGTGTGGCTCAGTGACTGAGCATCGACCCATGCACCAAGAGGTCTCCTATTCAATTCCCAGTCAGGGCACATGCCCAGGTTGTGGGCCAAATCCCCAGTGGGGGCCTGCAGGAGGCAGCCAGTCAATGTTCTCTCTCATCGAAGTTTCTATTGCTCTCTCTCTCCCCCTTCCACTCTCTTTCTAAAACCAATAAAGAAAAAACAATTTTTTTAAAAAACATTCTTTTTTTTCTCACCCAAGGACATTTTTCCATTTTTTGTTCAGATAGAATGGGAGGGAGAGAGAGAGAAACATCGACGTGAAAGGGACACATCAAGTGACTGCCACCCACACGACCAACCAGGGCCGGGGACAAACTGCAACCAAGATACATGCCCTTAGTGAGAACTGAACCCGGGTCTCTCTGGACCGCAGGCCGACCACTGAGCCAAACCGGCCAGGGCTTAAAGACCTTCTTTTAAAAAAAGAATTCTCATTTTAGTTTCTGGCCAGTTGCATGACCTTGGGTCAATTATTTTATCTTATTGTTCTTTTGTTTTGATGCACACAGCTCAATAAAAACACATGTTTTTGAATATCTAGTATGTGTGAGGCATTGTGCTAAGAACAAAGATTAGTGAAATGCAACCACTGTCACTAGTGAGAAATATATTTTGTTTTGGTAGGTTTTACAAAGAAAAAGAGGAAGAAGGAAAATAATAGAAATAAAGAAAGATGAGGAAGGAAGGGAGGAAAGGGAGGAGAGAAAGAGCAGCAGATAAGGTGAGAGGACAAGAGAGAGGAGAGAGGGGGAGAGGGGACCTTGGTCAACATAAAAAATTTACTGCAAAGTTCCTCAATCCACTAGGTGGCAAAGGAGAGCTGAGAGAAGGAAAAGGCAGTCATGCTGACAACTTTTCACGTTAAAACATTGTAAAAAACTGGAAAATGTTTACTACTCTAAACTTATTTTAATCATATAACAGATTTTTGCAAACATTTGGCTTTAATGAAGGTAAGGAATAAAATCGCTCCTTTTTTGCCGTTTTCCAAAAGCGTGCTCCAATGTGGCATTAAGGCATGGAACCACATGAGATTAAGATTTGTCCATATATAACCATGTTGTAGGATGTTTTGTATAATTAAATATACAATCTGGAAGGCATAAGTATTCTGAAGTTTGAAGAGTTACAGTTAGTTAGGTACAATGGGCTCTGTCATATAAAAATAAAGGCAAGTGTTTTCAAATTTCTCACCCTGTTCCCAAGCAGTAGGACTCTCTCGGGTATTCCTATCTGGAAGAGGTCAGCATGGGATGTAAACTTGTGTACAGAGTAAGGACAACACTATGGGTTCTACGTAAATATATCTCAATTAACTTTTTTTTTTTATCCTCACCCGAGGACATTTTTCCATTTTTTGTTCAGATAGAGCGGGAGGGAGAGAGAGGAAGAGAGAGAGAGAGAAACATCGACGTGAAGGGACACATCGAATGGCTGCCACCCGCACGACCAACCAGGGCCGGGGACAAACCGCAACCAAGGCACATGCCCTTAGCGGGAACTGAACCCGGGTCTCTCTGGACTGCAGGCCCACGCTCCAACTGCTGAGCCAAACTGGCCAGGGCCTCAATTAACTTTTAAGCTAAGCCTGCATGGTTGGTATCACACACATATTTTAGAGTTAGATTAGGTAATATGAGGTAAGTGATGTGTCCAAGTTCACGTAATTGTTAAGCGGCAGACAGAGCCAGGGCTCAAACTCAAATGGACTTCAAAACCAGCGCCCTTAACTACTGCGCTATGCTCTGCTACAGAGGAGTCAGGTGTGTATTATCAGCTGCAGCATCTCCATTCAAAACTACACACAAGAGAAAAATAAAACACCTAGTGGTATTACCAGTATAAAATTCTCTAGTTAAAAAAATTTGGAACTTGGCTTCAAACTTTTCCCAATTACAATGAGATATAATTAATTCAGATTGCTGACTGGTTCTCTGTGTCTTTAGAAAGAGTAGGAAAATGTATAATAGACAAGGAAATTGATTTTTGAGTACAAATGCTACAAGCTCTGTCTGAGAATCTGCATTCCCTCTACTGCTATTACTATGGCACTGAAGTAAACCTCTTGACCTGGGCAGATCCCCGTTTGTCAATGCTTGAAATCATTTCTTTCTACACAAACGGCTAAACTTTTCTACCATGATTAAGTTTTTTTAAATCCACACCTGAGGACACGTTTTTATTGATTTGAGAGAGAGAAGAAAGGGAAAGAGAGAGAGAGAGAGAAACATCGATGTGAGAGAGAAACATGGATCGGTTGTCTCTCGTACTCTCCCTGACCAGGAATCGGACCCGTATCCCTCTGGTGTATGGGACGACACCTGAACCAACTGAGCAACCCGGCCAGGGCTACCATGACTAATTTTGAAAGAGGAATGGATAGATTCTAACCAGAAAGCATGCATTCTGATATTAGTTGTACAGACTAATTCTGGTATTATTCAGTACATAACAGGCTTTAATTTTTAACTATGAACATATAGGTTACATAGAATTCATTTTTGTTTTATCATATATATAAACTTTCTGTAAATGATATTTAAAGACAAATGTTCCTCTCAGGTCAAAAGAGATTTCAGGTCCATTAGTCATAGGTCACTATTATTTATAATAGCAATTTTTTGTTATTAATCCTCACCCAAGGATATTTTTTTCATTCATTTTTAGAGCGAGTGAAAGGGAGGGAGGGGAGAGAGAGAAAGACAACAGTGTGAGAGAGAGAGACATCAGTGTGACAGAGAAACACTGATGTGAGAGACAGGTTGATTGGTTGCCTTCAGCACGCACTCCAACCTGGACCAGGGACCAAACCTGTAACCCAGGCACGTGTCCTTGACTGGGAATCGAACCTGACACCCTTCAGGGGGCTGATGTTCCAATCACTGAGCCACGCTGGCCAGGGCTATAATAGCCATTTTTAATACAGGATCATTTGATTATTTATTCTTGCAATATGCCAAATATTTTTAAGAGTGTCTGTTACAGTCCAAAACTTGTTTTCAACTATAATAAACCTATTTAAATAGCCATTCCACACTGTTCTACCTGGTCTGCTATAAACTTATTAGTGTTCTTAAGGGCCCATGGACTTTGAAGATGGTAAATAACCCTAAAGATTTTAATTCACTTCACCAAAAAATGACATAACAAACCACAGCTATTTACCTATTGAGAACAGATTAGTCAGTTGTTATTTTACTTGGATACTGCAGGGATGTGAATAACACTAAAATCTGCTTCAAAAACTGTCTGGTATGTGCTTAACTAAAAGCTACAAGAACTTATTTTACACGATTAGACAAAATATACTACAGTTGCACTAAGAGCTTTAAAAATCTAATATAACTTTCTAAAGGGCATTTATCTTCTGAAAGCCCAGAGCTTAAAAATAGGGATTGGCGTTTAAAGGGCACTGAACACACCCACTGAGGAAACAAGCAGCGCAGCTCAAGCGCCAGCAGTAGGGTCGCCACAGCGGACGTTCTCAGTGTAATGAAGATTGTGTTTTAGTAATATATTTAAGTATGTCAATATATTTTATACTATTAAAAATCAGGACCAAAATTCAAGGTTCTAATAATTTAGAACTTTTGAAATGTCAGATTTAGTGTTATTTTTGTCTTTTTCTATTTAATGTTCTCTACTCCTATTACAATCACATATTCTTTTGAAAATCAACAGAAAGCGATGAAGAAAATAGAAGTGCTTCCCCAGGGACCTACGGCTAACAACGTGAGGGGAAGACAGCAGCGGCTCCGTCGTCATGACCGAGACCGCCTGACAAGCCGGAAAGCACACCCCACAGCCATGCGACTTGATCTGGTGGGACTCGGGACAGCCTGCGATGACTCGGTGAGTCCTTGCCCAGGGCGCTGAGACTCACGCAGAAATGAACTTAAGCATGCGTCAATGTCAGGCACAACCCAATGTGGTCATGAAGCTCAGTAGAAAATTAAAACCTGGCCCTGGCCGGTTTGGGTCAGGGGTTAGAGCATCGGCCTGTGGTCCAGAGAGACCCGGGTTTGGTTCCCGCTAACGGCACGTATCTATTTCAGTTGCAGTTTGGCCCTGGCTGGGTTGTGCGGGAGACAACCAGTCAATGTGTCCCTTTCACGTTGATGTCTCTCTTTCTTTCTCTCTTTCTTTCTCTCTCTCTCTCTCTCTCTCTCTCTCTCTCTCTCTCTCTCTCTCTCTCTCTCTCCCTCTCCCTCTCTCTCCTTCCCATTCTATCTGAACAAAAAATAGAAAAATGTCCTCGGGTGAGGATAAAATAAATAAATAAATACATAAATAAAAATTAAAACCTGAGGTTTTACTTAGCAAAAAGTTTAACCCTGTCTCTTCTCAGCTGAGGGCACTGGTTTCGTGAATACAGAGACAAGAACTAGTTCTAACAAAAAGCACATCCTGCCCTGTCTGGTTTGGCTCAGCGGTTAGAGCGTCGGCCTGCGGTCCAGAGACCCGGGTTCGGTTCCTGCTAAGAGCGCGTACCTCGGTTGCAGTTTGTCCCGGGCCCTGGTTGGTCGTGCAGGTGGCAGCCACTCGTGTCCCTTTCATGTCGATGTTTCTCTCTCTCTCTCTATCCCCCATTCTACCTGAACAAAAAATGAAAAAAAATGTCCTCAGGTGAGGATTAAAAAAAAAGCACATCCTTCACTTTTGTACCCCAGCTGTGAAATTCCCTACCTTTCTGATTTGACTTGTTCAACCCAACTTCGAACTGGAAACAAAAGGGTGAGAATACCCCACAAGACCTGGTAACACCTCACGACAGCAGACGTCTGGGTCTCCTCTCCAAGGAACAAGCTCTCTTCTCAGACAGCATCTCCAACCTCAGCACAAAATCAAGCCCCCACTTTCCGCTGCAGGTGTCAACTTACCGCGCTGGCCTGTCACTCTTAGAACGGTGAGGTTCATCACTGTCTTTTGACTTTGAGTGTGTTGATTTAGATGTTTTAGGCTATAACAGGAAAAAAAAAAAAGGAAAAAAAGCAAAGAAAGAAAGAAAAATATTAGGTTTAGAAAATATCTAAATGTCAGACTACTCTCCTTTAATAATTTCAGGTTATTTGCATGCAATTTTAAGAACATAAAATATTTTTAAAGACAACCACTCAGAGATTTAAAAAAAAATAATACTCTCAAAGGTATGTTTGAGGCTGTCAGTATAGTCAGATGAGTTGGTTAAACACGTGCAAACATGCTCTCCCACAGGGTGTGCTTGGATACCCATTATTCACATAACAGCTGTAGAACAGCTAACAAGAACTGGTAGGTTCCCAGAGTTTACAGAATCTAGGTTTGTGCTCTTAACCTTATTTCTGAACACCTGACTTAGGGATGGTAGTTTTTAAGCCAGAAAATAAGGTCCATTTCAAGGTATTTTTTCCAGGAACTGGACCAGCACCAGCTAAAAAATCTAGACAGCACAGAAGTTCTAATACTTGAGAGAACTATGGCCTCCCTCTCTTAATTTCCTGATTTGTAATCCTTAAAAATACCTACTCCTTAATAGTAGGGTTAATAAAGAAACTGAATAACTCCTGGGCAATTATTTGTGGCTTAATTAATGGAGAAGCATTTGGGAAGCTTTCTACTAAAAATAAAATATGTTATGCCTGGCCAGTGTGGCTCAGTTGGTTGAGTGTCATTCCATGGACTGAGAGGTCCTGGTTTGATTCCTGGTCAGGGCGCATGCCTGGGTTTCAGGTTCGATCTCCCAATGGGGGGCTTGCAGGAGGCAGCCAATCGATGTTTCTCTCTCACGTTGATGTTCCTATCTCTCTCTCCCTCTCCCTTCTTCTCTCTCTAAAATCAGTAAAAAGATATTTTAAAAAATAAAATAGGGCCCTGGCTGGTTTGGCTCAGTAGCTGGACCGTCGGCCTGCAGACCAGAGAGTCCCGGGTCCAGTTCCCGCTAGGGGCATGTACTAAAATAAAATAAAATAGGTTAGGAAAAATCCTAATTACAAGGAAGGGTAAAAGAGAGAGATAAGTATAAATTAAATGGAAATAATCCTTTCATTTGCTTTTAGACTGACAGCTGGGTAACTGACAACAGGAATTAGAACAATACTATCATCACAGTTTCTGCATCTTCTTTTTCCTCACCGCCCAGACTCAGACAGTACCCGAGAGCCCAGGGAGGAATTTGTTAGAGAGAACAGGGGGATACACACCGCCACTATACCCTTCCAGGTCTAGTTCCAACCCCTCCCTAGAGAGACTTTACCATATGAACGCTCCCCCTCCTCCTCCATTATGCTTTTATCAGCCAGCTCGACCTTGTATTTGTCAACTGTCTACAGTCTGTCTTCCTGTCTACACACCACATTATCACGAGGAAATACCTATCTTTGCCTTTCCCTGTAAGTCCAGAGGGATGCTTTGCACAGAATAACTAATTTGTAAAGTCTGTTAAATTGAATCTGCAACCACCACATACGACAATTAGATTACTTTATAATAGAATGCACTGAGGTCACTGAGTATTTTGTCTCCTGGTTCTAAATGAATAAGGGGAAGGTAACAGTTCGAGCTCATACCGCACAGTTCTTGCACTCTGACATACGCAATGATTGCTGGTGATAGCTGTCAGCCTGCCGTGGATCAAATTATGTCAGAGGAAGAGAAACAATGGACACATAACCAAGGATGAAGCACAGATCAGTACATAAGGGAAGGAGAGAGAAAGAATAGGCCACTGGGAATCTGAAAGCATGTGAAAAGGCTGCATTCTCCTATAAGGTAAGTATAGTAAAGTTAAGCTTGATCATGACCAGCGGGCGTTTGCACCTTGGTTGGTCTTAAAATGAATGAAATGAGTTTTTCACTCAGCAGTAACTTTTTAAATAATTACTTTCAATAATTTAATATGATTTTTAATAGTGAAACAACTTTTACAAGTCAGATTCACGTGATACAGAAAATGTCTATACCCTAAATATATTTACAGAGCTTACCCTAAAAACAGAGTCCCCTTTACATTTCTAATTTTACTTCTCATTAAACAACAACAACAACAAAACAGACCCTACCTTCCAATCAGGGTCATGCTTTCTTTTGTCCAATGACGATTTTTCCCGCTCCTTGGCTTTCTTGTAAGCTTTCTTTTCTTCAGCCATTAGAAGTCTAGCAATTTCCTAAACAAATCCAGTCCATATTATCATTGATGAGAGTTGTAGAAAGAAAATTATCGTGATATTTCCAAAAAATATTGGCTAACGAAACTCATTAACTCACCTCATCCTGGGCTACTTGAGCTGCTCTCATGTCCACCTGGGTAGCCTATAGTGCAGAAAATACAAAAAATATAAAATTTAATTGGATTCTATGCTGTCCATTTTTTGAATCTTACATAAAAATAAACTGGTATTTGAAACTAGATGTGGTGAACATTCCTCAAGATGGTAACTGGTTGGTATACATTCGCCAGCCAGAGCAGGGTCTATTTTCACCAAATTCTACAGCAGATTCTTAGAGAATTATCAGAACTCAATAATGGAGAGACAGGGATATGGAATTCTATCGCTAATACTTACTCAGTAAATAAAACTAAACACTCTATTATTGTTTTCATTTTTTCCACGAAAAAAGAAGGTACTAGTTTCTCAACTGATAAAGGACTGTAATGCCTGTTATATCCACACACCAAGAATGACTCAATTCACAAAAAATCTTATTCACCTGAACTTCTGCATTAAAATTTGCTCACCAAAATTTCCTCTTCCTGCAGTTTTCTGGCAATTTCAGCATCGTACCACTCCTGATCCCTGTGCGTCACTCGTGACGGGGTAGAGACGGCTTCTTTCATCACTCTCGGCTTCATTCCTAGAAAAAAACCAATGTAATAAGGTAAATGACTTTCTAAAAAGTTGTAAAATTTAAGGTTACAAAAAAAACAAGCCTTTTACCTTACATTTTACCATTCTTTACTATCTAACACAGACAACGCTGTCGCCATTCCACAGTCCAGTGCAGGCCGCACTGGAAATAACTTTTCCCTTAGACATGAAGTGATGCAATAATCCACACACGTAACAAAGTTACCACCCAACCCTGCCTGATAAAACCTCCCCTCTCACATAGTTTCTTCCAGAGCAGGAAATCAGGCAAAAAACTGCTAGTGAGGCTTTTGGAAAGAAGAAAGTAGAAAGAAAAACAAAAAGAATAGTCATTGAAATGAAAAGAACTTAGAGAAAAGAAAGTCACAGAGTTGAGGTTTCAAAGAGGCTAAGCTGTCAAGACTGGAGGAAACGACAGGCTTCCTTGGTTTGCCCCCGTCTGGCACACCTTACCTCAGCGGGAAGAGAACAGCATCACCAGGCAGTTAGGTGACCAGGTACCTGTTAGCCACCCAGTTCCCGACATGGCTTCTGCTCTGACGGCCAACAGACCCACCTGCTTCTTAGATCTTTCCTACTGCTTTGATCAGTTTACCGTGGTTGCTCAATTTCATGGAAGATATAACATAAAGAAAATAGCACAATGACTGTAGCATTGTATTCCCCTGACAAAGGAACAGGCAGGGACTGGTGGGAAATTCTGGCTTTTTATTTTGAAATTTTACATGCAGCATATGTTCCTTCAGTCCCTTTTAAGTGAATGGTAAATGCTAATGGTCATTTCAAAATGTGGGCATTTCCCTCTGTGTACCCTTTCTAAATTATAACAATGTGAACAAAATGTTGAATGCAGTGAACAAGATTAACCACCTGAATTACTGACTTCAGTAAACAGATTACTGATGGGAAAGAGAAAACTCACTCCTAATTGCCTGTTTCTTTATATCCGTGGTTCTCCACCATGGCTATATACCAGAATCACTTGTGGTGCTTTAGATAAACATTAAAATCTTTGACCCAAATCCCAGGGATTCTAATTTAAGTAGCCTAGAGAGATCTGGCCTTTAGTATTTATTTTAGTTATTTTTTTAATCTTTAGCAGTTGATTCTTATTTGCAATTAGCAATGGAACTACCAGCTTAGTGTATAATGTCCATCAAAATAACCGTCCATTAAACAGTTTTTATCAAAATGTCTCACCACATTTGATTTGCTTGCTTTAAACAAAAAAATAAAATAAAAATGGAAAGACAAGAAAATACAACTGAATTCTGGGCACATGAAGAAAGTTTAAGTTATCTGGCGAAGGTTTTCTTTGTAGAGCTTTGAACCTAGCTTTGCGGTAAATCCTAAAGCCTCAGGCTCATCTGCCTTTCCCACACAAAAAAAGAGACTATTAAACATGGTTTTCTTAGCTTCAGGCCAATTAGTACATAATTACCCAGAATACAGAATCCACTTCAACTTCACATCATTTCTAGAATCTGATGCCAGGCTGGCCTGCTTTTAACCCAGATTGCTGAGTGGTTTGGGACAGTTACAAAACAGTAGCACAACCCATGAGTGGACCATATTTAAATGGAATATAAACCTCCCTGAGTTATGATTAGTGTGGTCATAACTAGAAAGGAATATTTTAGGCAAAATAAATAAAATTATATAAGGAAGTTAGTACTGGGCAAAGTCAGTGGACCAGGTAGATTGCTATATCATATTCCTATTTATAGAAAAATGACACAGTGAGCAGCCCCAAAAGCCTAGTTGAGGATGATAGGAAAGATCACCCTTAGTCCTTGCCCCTTCAATTTTGCTATCCAGTGAAAGAAACAATATAGTGAGATATGCTCATCTTCTACACTATTGTGCCTCCTATGCTACACCACAGAATTAGCTGAGAAAATGTGTTAATATCTACAAAAACGCTTGGAAGGCATTCAAATGAAAGTCTTAATTGGCAGGGCAGTTTGAGAAGATTGTGACCTCTTGATAGTTAAAAACAGAATGATACACAGATCAATGGAACAGAACAGAAAGTCCAGAAAAAACCTGTAACATATGACCACTTACAACGAAAAGCCAAAAATATACAGTGGGGAAAAAACAGTGTCTTCAATGAATGGCGTTGAGAAAAACTAGAAAGCCACATGCAAAAGAATGGAACTGGAGCACTACCTTCCACCATATACAAACATTAATTCAAAATGGATTAAAGAATTGAACAGAAAACCTGAAACCATAAAATTCCTAGAAGAAAACATAGGCAGTCAGATCCTTGACATTAGTTTTGGAGATGACTTTTTAGTTTTGACACCAAAAGCAAAGGCAACAAAAGAAAAAATAACAAGAGGGACCAATAAAACTAAAAAGCTTCCATATAACAACAGAAACCATCAATTAAACCAATGACAATCTGCTAAATGGAAGAAAATATTTTCAAATCACGTATCTGATAAGGGGTTAATATCCAAAACATATAAAGAATTCATAGGGCTGAAAAGGAGGGATATCTGTAATACTTTCAAAAATAAAGATAAATAAAAAATAAAATAAAATAAACGCAACAGCAATGTGTGTGTGTGCGTGTGTGTGTGTGAAAGAGAGAGAGATTTAATAATGGGCAGAGGGTCTGAATAGACATTTTTTCCAAAGAAGACATATAGATGGCCAATAGATACTTGAAAAAGGTCTCAACGTCACTAATTAACAGAAAAATACAAATCAAAAACACCTGTTAGAATGGTTATTATCAAAAAGACAAAAAATAAGTGTCAGTGAGAATGTGGAAAAAAGGGAACCACTGTGCACCATTGGTGGGAATGTAAACTGGTGCAATCATCATGAAAAATAGTTTGGATGTTCCTTGAAAAATTAAAAATAGAACTACTATATTATCCAGCAATTCCCATTCTGGGTATTCTTCTGAAGGAAATGAAAACACTAACTTGAAAGGTATATGCACCCCATGGTTACTGCAGCATTGTTTACAACAGCTAAGACATGAAAATAACCTAAGAGCCCACAGATGAATGAACGGAACAGGAGATGAGGTATACAGTCATTGCTTAACAATGAGGACAGTTCTGAGAAATGCATCATTAGGTGACTTCATCGTTGTGGGAACACCACAGAGCACACTTACACAATCCTAGATGCTATAACCTGCACACTTCGCTACGTGGTACAGCCCATTCCTCCTAGACTATAAGCCTGGATAGTATATTACTGTACAAAACAATACAAGATTGCCCTGGCCGGTTTGGCTCAGCGGTTAGAGCGTCGGCCTGCGGTCCGGAGAGACCCGGGTTCGGTTCCCGCTAAGGGCACGTACTTCGGTTGCAGTTTGTCCCCGGCCCTGGTTGGTCGTGCGGGTGGCAGCCACTCGATGTGACCCTTTCACGTCGATGTTTCTCTCTCTCTCTCCCTTCCTCTCTCTTCCTCCCACTCTATCTGTACAAAAAATGGAAAAATATCCTCGGGTGAGGACAAAACAATACAAGATTAAATCAAATATAAGAGAAAATTATGCAATCAAGAGACAAGGTAAACATGAGATGTATGAGGCTGCTGCTGGCATAACAAGATATACTGTTTTACAGCAAAGTTGTTTTTTTAAATAAGTAAAAAGAGTACACTCTAAAACAGTGAGAAAAAGTACAGCAAATACATTAAGCCAGTAACAGCTGTTTATTATCGTTATCAGTATTATGTGCTATATATAATTCTCTGTGCTATGCTTTTATACAACTGGCAGCTCAAGTTTACACCAGCATCACCACAAACAGGTGACAAATGTCTGGTGCTCTGATACTAAGATGGATATGATGTCACTAGACAATAGGGAGTTTTCAGCTCCATTGTATTCTTACAGGACCACCATGTATGTACATATGTATATATACATAATATATACAGCCTGTCACTGACTAAAATGTTATTGGCTCATGACTGTATATATATATAATGGAATATTATTCAGCCATAAAAAAGTGCAACCTTGCCACTTGCAACAATATGGATAAACCTTGAGGGCACTATGCTAAGTGAAATAAGTTAGAGAGATACAAAACACCATATGATCTCATTTATATGTAAAATCTAAAAAAAAAAATTGTGCTCATAGGTAAAGAACACATGTTGGTAGTTGCCAGAGGTGGGGGCAAAACAGGCCACCTTAACAGGGGGTCAAAAGGTAAAGATTTCCAGTTATAAAAAAAATAAGGTATGGGAATACAATATACAGCATGTTGACTATAGTTAATAATACTGTACTGCATATTAGAAAGTTGCTAAGTGAGCAGATCTTAACAGTTCTTATCACACAAACACAAAAAGTGTACCTGTGTATGGTAACAGACGTTAACTAGACTTGCTGTGGTAACCATTTTGCAATATATACAAATATTGAATCATTATATTGTACATCTGAAAGTAGTATAATATTACATATCAACCATACCCCAATAAAAATAGATAGATAGAAATTGAGGTAATATCTCCCTGAGTCCCGAATATATAGTGGGAAACCAATTTACTTGATCTCTTGCTACATCACTGGAACTTGGATGTCTTGTAAGTAGAAACTCTTCATAACCCAGAATTAATTTCTGGACTTCTGGGATGACAGGGCTACCCACTCAATATGGTACCCCTGTATCAGAGGTAAAAAGAGCTTTTGTAAGTATGTAAGAAGGAAATTAGATAGTGTAGTCTAAGGCTGTCACTATAGAAAACAGATGCTTTAAATAATTTCAAAGCACAGTTACTTGAAGAAAATTAACAGGATGGTTGTCCTCACTTTGTAAACCTAAAAAGAGTCTGAAAACTCACTTTCTAAAGGCCCAACAGTTCTACATTCATTTCTTAGTCTAACTTTTGCTTGTGTTTTTCTGTTTATCATTCTCCAGTATGACAGCATAAGATCTTTGCTCAATATACAAAACAAAACAATACAAACTTAAATAAATTCTGCTAGGAATAGGGTAAAATGGTAATTGATAGATTCTCTGATATAATGCAAGACTGTTTTGTAATAAGCCAGACTGACAATTGGGGAATATTATAGCAGAAAGATGTAGAAGTTTTATGACCCTAAAAAGTTGGAGGTTAACCTGAAGAAAATTAACAGGCCGATAAGATGTAACAGCTCAATAAAGAAGTTACCCTCAAAGGTGGTATGGTTTTATTGCCCTTTGTAAGGTTAACCAATTTCATATTTAATTAAGCAATTATATTTAGCATTTATTTTTCAATAGACTCTGTAAAATCCTGTCCCACAAATGCTTATTTAGAACGAGCTATTTGTCGTCCTGCTAGTTTCTTCATCATTAAGTAAAATGCCACTCTGGCCTGTGCTAATAACTTTGAAAATAGACACCTGTACCTACTAAATATATTTTAATGTAATCCTCTGAACTATTCCAGGGGATTTGCAAAATCTAGCCTGGAGGGACTGCTGAAGGAACATTAGTAAAGTAAGTTGAACACAAAATGACGGACACAAGCAGCTACGTTGTAGCCATGTTAGTGCCTGCCTATCCATATTGTTTTTTAAACCCCTGTACTGGTAAAACAAAAGAAAATTTTTAATAATTGCCTCCAACTCCAGTAGTAGAGTCTGTGAATCAGTGTCTAGTTTCACATTAGTTTCACCCTTCCTAAGCCTCTTTAAGATACCTTCAAATATAACTAAAAGCCATAAAAGGTTAACCAGCCCTCAGAGCACTTACAAGGTCAGATTCACAGAATCAGAAATATAGAGGTTGGTGTAATCACTGACCCTCCCCTAAGCCTTTAGGACTCCAACATGTCTTTCTCAATCTGGATATAGTATAATTAATCATAAAGCCTACTCCAGACAGATTATATGGCTTCCTCCTCTATGCCCCCATAGCTCTCTGTTCAAAGTATATTTAATTTGCAATCATATGTTTGCATATCCATCTTTTTGGCTTGAATTATTAACCCTCTGATGCTCATATCTAAGCATAGACCCCAAACACAAAGCCCGGAGCAAGAATATTTGTGGCAGATACTCAGCATGGTTTGCTGAACTGAATTTTCATTTTCTTTATGACCAAGTCCTTTAATGACTTAAAGGATTAACATAATAGGAAGAAGCAACTAAATCAACCTGAATCTGCAACCCAGAAACCAGTTTCCAGAGCAGAAGTAGAGGCTGGCTGGGCAAATAATAAAGAATAAGAACAGACGCTTCCTCGGTACTCCTTTCCCAATAACCCTTGCATTTCTTTTTTTTTTTTTTTTTTTTAATCCTCACCAGAGGACATTTTTCTATATTTTGTTCAGATAGAGTGGGAGGGAGGGAGAGAGAGAAACATCGACGTGAAAGGAACACATCGAGTGGTTGCCACCCGCACAACCGACCAGGGCCGGGGACAAACTGCAACCGAGGTACGTGCCCTCAGCGGGAACCTAACCTGGGTCTCTCAGGACCGCAGACCGATGCTCTAACCGCTGAGCCAAACAGGCCAGGGCAACCCTTGCATTTCTAAAAAAACGTCCATAAGAGGAAAACATCCAGGTAGGTACGTATGGTCTAACACCAGACAGTGATATGACTGATGTACAGGGTACAGCCACAAGGTTTCCAGACAAAAACAGACATAACCTTTCCTTTGTCAATGGCGGATTTCACTGATTCTGAGTTAAACTTCAGAGATGCCAGAAATCTGAAACCTAAGTCTAATGTTCTCTTCATTCCTATCAAAGTACAGGTGTACCTTGGAGATATTGCGGATTTGGTCCCAGACCACCACAATGGAGTATGGCAATATATCGAGTCAAAACCTTTTTGCTGGCCGAAGGTCTCACCTTCAATTTGTAAAAAATGCAACATCTGTGAGGTGCAATAAAGTGAGGCACCTACACCAAGAACTAACTTGATATTGGCATCTCAGGACACCAACTGTAGAGTTCGAGTTGAAGAACATTAGGCACAGAAAGTAACCTAAGGCAAGAATTTCCAAACTTTAAGTACATAATCATCTCCAGGTCTAAAATAAGCCCAACTGCCAGGCCATACTCCAAAGATGATAATAGTTGTGAGACCCAGAAATCTGCACATTTAGGAAACAGCTCAGCTTACTCTGACAGAACTGGACTGAGGTCCACAATATATGTCTCAAGAGATTGCATATCCAATCTCTTACTTTACAGATGGGAAAGATAAGGACAAGAAAATCCAGACCTCCAGCCCTGTTGCTCTTCTAGTTAGGCAAACACTATGAAGGCAGTGTCAGCAGATCTTCTGGGTTCACTGAACTAAAATCAGGGATTCAGTAGCTTTGTTGTGTTGTCTGAATCTCTGATGTGTGGTCCCGGCCAATGAAGAATTGTATCTGGGATGGGCGCCCCCAAGTGTGTAATGAATCAGGGTACTCTCTCGGAAGACAGAAAGGGACAGTCACAGATGTTTTCCTTCTTCACACGGACTTCAGATTAAGAAAATAACCTTACGTCAAGTCTGGCTCCAGGTTTATTTCATAGCCATGAGCAAAAACTAGAGGGAAAGAATATGTTGCCTGAGATGCTTATTAAATACATGTGTGTGTATGTCTGCATGATACCAGGGCTTCTAACAACCATCCTTTATTACCTGTGTCATGGAGTTGGAGCCGCTCCTCACTCTCTGAGAAGGGAGGAGTCCTGGGCCTGTGCTTCCTCTCTCTGTGCCCACCTTGCCCATGCTCCCTCCCATGCACAGACTCCTTGGAAGGAAGCCCTGCTTTTTGAGAAGACTTCGGTGAAAGCTGGTCTTGGTGTCTGGACTGTTTTTCCCAGCTCCGAGTTCGATGGCTGCTGTTAGCCTCCCAGTCACCAAGTTCCGTACTCAGAAACACCTCCCCACTGATCTTGGGAAGAGGAGGTCTCCGGAGCCTCTCATGACCGGAACATTTCCTTTCATGCTGCTCCGTGATAATCTGGGGGTTGTCCCTCACTTTGCCTGAGCTACAGGACAGAGATTTCTCTGATAAACGATGTTCTTCCGGTTCCTCCAAGTTCTCCCACGGATGCTTGGGTTTCTCCTTTCTCTGCTTCACCGTCTTTTCATCGCTTTGGAGTTTACAGGACCTTGAGAATCCAGAACCCAATTCCCTTGCCCTCCTTGACCGTGGCTGGTCTGAGTGGAGGTGGAGGAATGCGAAAAACAGAAATGCAGGTTAAGTCAATCAGATTATGAATTCACTGCTTGGGTGAGACAGGGCCCGAATTTAACCTATTTTAAAATGGAGAGGACCACTTTTTCAACTTAACAAACTGAAAATAGGGGATGGGCATTTACTGGAAGGATTCTGGGTACATACCCAAAAAAGTAAAATTAATACATACAATTCAATTAGGTGAAATAAATTTGAAAGAAGATCTTGATCATGATTAGGAAGAGTTAACAAAGTACTTTAATATTTGCCAATAACAAAAATTACAGCCATTAAATGTTAAATTATACTTATAAAACCAATTTGGAACTGTGTATGGGGGGAAAAATGGTAGTTGAGGGAAATCTCATAAAACAGAAAAAAAACTAGGCTTCGTGATTCCAGAGGCTTTCAAATATTCTTCTTGGAAATAACAATAAATCAACACCAGAATGTTGGTAGTTTCCACGTAGTTCAGAGAAATGATCCACGGATTTCAGTATTCCTCTATCCTTTCCTCTTACGTGGCCAAAGCAAACATTTCCAGATATATTGCAGTTCAGTGTGGAAGAAGATGAAGTAGAGAATTTGAAGTGATTAAATGACCCTGTTATCTTTGGATAATTCTGCTCCCAATCTTACTTGAATTGTGGCAGAGAAAAAAATTAAAAAGAGATGCCATCATGGATTACATAAAAAAGGAGTCATTTCCTAAATTGATTTCAAAAAACTTTACGATTCTGTATTCTTTATATAAAAATCCAGTATGTGCTAAATATACATGTCCCTGCGTTTAACACAATGCTCAAAAGCAGCAAATGAGTGCTTTTGTGGGTCTCACGCAGGCACAAGCATAGTGTGAAAACAAAGGAAATAAATTAATATGCACTTTACAAGAGTGTGTTTATTTTAACATTTCTAAGACTTGAATACATTTTCAAAATAATAAAAAGAAATCCTAATTCCATGGAAAATTGCTAAAATAGCTGGAATTAGCTATTTGCTGAACTGCATTTGAAACAGCTACCCTAAATCGATGGGATATAAAGGATATAAATAAACATTTTCTTAGTTTCTAGGGTTTTGTTGTATTTTGAGTTTTGTTTGTTTTTTAAGTTTATTGATGTAATAAAGAAATAAGGGAAGAAAAGATATATGCTAAATGCATCACTGATGCCTTACGCTTCTCAAACATTTTGAACTATTTCTTCTTGAACTTGAAAAAAATATTTGCTTCAAAATGACATCTAAATTAAGATGTCTTCTAAAAATTCGGTAAAAGTACTTATCTTCATAATTTATGGTTAAATTTATATTTTACATAACAGCAGAAGTGAAACAACGGAATGATTACTCTGTGATAAAAAGAAGGGTCTGCTCTTCTAACTAAACTATTATTTGAAGTGTATCTTGACAACTGAGAAAGAACCAAAGGACGTCCGCTGTGCATTAACACCAGCGACTGGAAGGATGACCACAGGGGAGGACAGCAAGTTACAGCGTCCATACCAGTGTTCCCAAAGACAGCTGCAAGAGGGAAGTCTGCCTTCAAGGCCAAAACAAACAAGAAGGGCTTTGTTTTCCACTTGAATGTGTGAGGCTGGGATTGTTTTGTCCTTATAGTGGTTTTTAAATTCTTCCTCAAAGGCTACAGGGTGTTCACAGTTCTGCCTCCAGGGACTGTGCTGCAGGAATTAGAGCAGCACCATCACTGCCTTTCAGAGTTGCCTGGATAAAAACATTTACTGACTAGTTTGCTTGCTGTGATATATTTAAATCCGGGAAAGGGGAAAAAAAGACAGGGGTGGGGCAATCTGTTTGAATCCTTTAAAATCCTGTCCAGTTTAGGATTGAGACTTGTACAGTTTTTGAGACTAAGTTATTTGGCAAATATAGTTAACTTCCTCATATCCAATATATACACATATACATGCATATGTACATATATATATATTTGTGTCTCCATGTTTGTCTTTCAAAATAAGATTTCTGTTAAGATATAAAAAATATTATTATATACACATAACATCAATATATGCATAAACAATAGAACCTGAGAGTTTTTAAGTCTTCACCAAAATTACATTATTTGATCTTCTCAACATCCATGAGAAGGTTATATTATTATAATCCCCATTTTACAAATGAGAAGAAGGCTTACATTTATTATAATAGCTAACTTCCTTAGCTCTTATGACTCCAAAAACTGTAACTTAAAAAAATCAATAATATACCTGCAATACAGGTAAGTGGCTTTGAAAGAAAAACATGGATTCACAAATAAAGAAGATATACCATTTCAATTGATATAAATCTGATAGATATTTGGTATAATTACAAATTTGTAAAAAAAATCTATAAATGATCATTTTTAAAAGAATGATTTATTAAATTTTAAGTAAAATCAAAGCTGAAAAGACCACTTTTGTAGTAATATACTGTGATTATTATGTAAGGCAAAAATTACATTATATAAAGATAGAGAAAGAAGCACAATGAAAGAATATCTCTTATGTGTTGGGAAAGGATCACCGCAAAGAACATAAGGATTGCTTTGTAAATACAACTGGACTGGAATGTGATTTCTACTTGGGTCCAATGCAAAGGCATATAAATACGGATCACATGCTCAGCAATACAGTCTTTCAGCCACACAACTGAAGACAAATCCCAATATGTAGGTACATATGCTCAGGAGGTCATTACTTCCTATTCCCAATGCCCCCAACTCCAATAAGTGACAGATATGCCTCTCTATATAAGTTTACAAAAGCAGTTAAAATATATATAGAATAGATTTTTTTTTAACTTTTAGGTGTCCCTGAAAACCCACTGAATTCTTAACATAGGCTCTTGCCCTACAGATATGAATCAGGATGACGGCACTCTGGTCGAAACAACTAGGTTTGAGTTCCAATTCAAGTTAGCATAAGGTTTTAACAGAGAAAGGCTAAAATGATTTTATTGTACTTCATTGTCATCATAATGTTTTCACAGACTTAAAACTTTAAAGTAGTTAATTTTTATTTGCAGTGAACATGCCTCTAGAGTAGAATTAAAAATAAAAACAGCGCTGGTTGATATGGCTCAATGGTTAGACTATTGGCCTTCAGACCAAAGGGTCATGGGTTCGATTCCCAGTTAAGGGCATGTACCTGGTTTGTAGGTTTGATACCTGGACCTGGTCGGAGCACATGTGAGAGGCAACCAATCAATGTGTCTCTCTCACCACTTTGATGTTTCTCTTTCTCTCTCTCTCCCCTTCCCTCCCTTCCATTCTCTTCTAAAAATCAATGGAAAAAATATCCTCAGGTGAGGATTAAAAAAGAAAGAAAGGAAAACAAATGAAAAACACCAGACCACATTTCTAAGATTTTAATTAAGACTGAAGAGCCCTGGCCGGTTTGGCTCAGCGGTTAGAGCGTCCACCTACGGTCCAGAGAGGTCCGGGTTCGGTTCCCGCTAAGGGCATGTACCTCACTCGGTTGCAGTTTGTCCCCGGCCCTGGTTGGTCGTGCGGGTGGCAGCCACTCGATTGGTCCCTTTCACATCGATGTTTCCCGCTCTCTCTCTTCCTCTCTCTCCCTCCCACTCTGTCTGTACAAAAAATGGAAAAATGTCCTCGGATGAGGATTAAAAAAAAAAAAGACTGAAGAGTAGCCCTGGCCAGTTTGGCTCAGCAGTTAGAGCCTCCGCCCGTGGTCCAGAGAGACATGGGCTCAGTTTCCACTAAGGGCACGTACCTAGGTTGCAGTTTGTCCCTGGCCCCAGTTGGGGTTGTGGTTGTGTAGGAAGTGGCCACTCGATGTGTCCCTTTCACATCGATGTTTCTCTCTCTCTCTCTCCCCCTCCCACTCTATCTGAACAAAAATGGAAAAATGTCCTCGAGTGAGGATTAAAAAAAAAGAAAAAAAGACTGAAGAGTACCTCTTTACCTTCTGGTCTCTAGTATAGCAAAATACAGCAATGATTTTTCATTTTTAAATAATGTAATACATCACTGCATTAGAAGAACCAGTTTAAGAAAAATGGATATCAAAAAAGAGCTCGGTATTTTACATATGGAAGAAGAATACAACAAGCAATAAATGGAGAATCAACCTGCTTACTAATTATACCAGAGAGCTAAGCTCTACTGATAATGATCAATTTAGAGCAACAATGTGACTGAGCAAGAGGTACCTAGACTGTAATAATCCTATCATGCACATATACATTCCTTTCATTCTACCCATCAAAGACAAACACCCACTTACCTTTTTTAAATGATACTATAGAGAAGTAATTGATAATTAGTTTGCAAGAGCCTTTAAAATCACTGAACTTAAAATCTTACTCTCATTTGTTATCCTATGTTCTCTAAGCTGAACTACAATAAACACTCATACTAGAAACTACAGGAAATATCTTTCCTTGGACAGATCTTTAAAATGGACTGAGCAATACTTGCAAATACTCATTTCCCAACACACTGAAGGTGAAGAGCCACCACCACAAGGCAAACACAGGCACCAGAAAGAAAGACTTTGAAAGGACTTCTTTCCATCAGAAAGTTTTCTATATGGCAATCAAATAGCAAAGAAAGCATCAAGAGCAAAACAGCAGAGAATCATAAAGTTTAACATCATCAAGAGGCTAAACCACTGACTTAGGTGTTTAAAAGATGAGATGCATGGAGAAAAAGCTTTGCTATCCCACAACTCATGTATGGTGTACTTTCTTTATTACTTGTGCCACTTTGCTGCCTCAAACAGTCTGACCAGATTTCCTTGAGAAAGATCAAGTCCCAAGATTCATCCCACCATTTTCCACATCCCCGTTTATGTGCTTAGAATATAATAACATCCATCTCAGTGGCAACAGCGCAAAAGAATGCATGCCAAATCTTACAAACCCGTATTCAAGTTTAAACAGCCCTAAAAATGACTCTGGCCATCCAATAAGGAACAGACAAATTCCTTAGGTTCTGCCACAAATCTAAATGGGCACTAAAGCCACTTTCTGGACAAATTTAAAGGGTTGTCTCACAGCTGAATCTAAGGGTACAGTAGGTTGTGATGTAAGCAATGTTACCTCCATCTTCATAATAGTAACCCTCTCCATAAGCATTGGCTCCAGAGGACTCAGGGAAATGTTTCTTTCGCTTTTTTTCTTCCTGTAACTCCTTCTCTTGCAACAGACGAGCTATGTCCTGCAAATGCAGAGAGGGTGGAAATAAATATTACCCAACCGTGAACAACCTCCATACAGTTACCCTACAGGTCAATGGTCCACATTTCAGTGTTAAACTTTTGTGGGCGGGCTCTATCTATGGCTCTGCAGACTGGCTGGCAGTAAGTTCATGCAACTTAAATGCCACAGATGACTGTTCAACAGGAGTGGCACAAGACCCAGATCAGAGAGAGGCTTTTTTTTTTTAATTAAAATTTAAACTCAATCTGAAGACATTCAAACCTCGTATTCCCAATGCCAGTTATACAACAAAAATTCATATTTGTGGGCTCTTTTTCAAATATGACAATTCAGTAAGTCTGAGTGGGGAAGGGTGTAGTAATCTATAAAACTTTAGTTTAATTTTAAGACCTTTTTTTGGGGGGGGGAGGGCTTCCTGTGAAAACTGGAAGACCTACTAGACAAATTGAAAAAGAGCTGTAAGCACTTAATTTTAAGACTTTTTAAAAGAATTTTTGGCTGATCCTGATTGAACTTTGCATTTGAGTACCACTGTCTTAACTGAAAAAGAGAAAACAGTCTTCCTCCTATATCCCCTCTATATAATCTCCAGGCAAGATTTTAGCAGCTACTGAGTAATGAATCACATTCTGACCCTGTCCCCAAAATATTACCATCTTCCCAAAAAAACAAACATGTATATAAATAACTATAATACAATTAAATTATATAGCCACCAAAGAAAGGTAAAAATGTTTATGGGAACACAAAAAATGGAATATTATTTCTCCTTAAAGAAATTAGTGCGAGAATTTTCATCAGTATTTATTTCTGAACAAAAAACTGAATTCCAATAGGCAAAGTAAGGAGAGAGAATATCATTAATTATGAATGGTTTGATGGACAATCTATGTAAATGACCAATAGTCCAATTAGAACACAGGATATAGAGTGTTGCAGAGAAAGGTGAGGCTAGAAAAACAATCTGAGTCTGAATCATAGGCATTCCTTACAGGTACTCTTTAGAAGTCTGGAATCTATCATGCAAGAAATGAAGGGTTACTAAACGTTTAAAACTAAAGAGTAACAGTGTTCTGAATCTGAAGATTATTTCTATGAACGCCCCATAAAATAGTACATAAACTTTGTTGTGTACACTTTTTTGAAGAAAAAGTCCAAAGCTGTCACCAGACTTCTTAAAGGCTAATACAAATATGACAACCATACTCAATATGCAAACAGTAATAACAACCATAGGGAGTTTGAGGTAATTATTTATAACTAGAAATACAAGAAGTGCTTATATGTTAATGTAAATTTTGAAGCAATAGTTAATTACTATTCTTCTTTTTGCAATTTTCTGAATAAGTCAAAATGAAGAATATACTAAGACTGAAAGACAAACCTAAAAATATTCCATTTGAATAAATCAATTTCTTTCGTGTCAATGTAGAAATAAATTGGATACTAAAACTAGATAAATTAACAATGATTATCATTGTACTCTGCTTTTAATGTTCATCAAAATAAGCTTATAAATCTGAGCTTATATTAAATAATGCCTAAATTTAAAATTATAAATAACTATTAACATATTGCCTTTAACTGAGTGCTACCTATGCTGAAAACTTCTTATAAAACTGTGTGAAAGATACATATATATATTTTTTAATAAAAAATAATCTACATAAAAGCCCATGCTATAGTGACAGACACTTGAGTAGGCACTCACAAAATGTTGATACTCAGAATGAGAGATAAAGAACACACTCCTACTTAACACACATATGGTTTTCATGCAATGAAATCTGAATGTCTAACACTTTGATGGAAAAAGTCCCCTAAGTCTGAAAGTTAAGATGATTTTCTTTTTCCTTGCAGTTCAACCCAGAGATGCTCCAAAGACACTGGAAAAAAAATATTAACTACTAAAATGAATTTCCTGAGCTTCAATTCTTTATCTATACAATGAAGAATTTGAACTACTCAACCTTAAATATCTTGACTCCCTCATGCATCTTTTTTTTTTTAATCTTCACCGGAGGACTTTTTTTTCCATTTTTTGTTAAGATAGAGAGGGAGAGAGAGAGAAACATCGACGTGAAAGGGACATATCGAGTGGCTGCCACCCACACAACCAACCAGGGCCAGGGACAAACTGCAACCGAGGTATGTGCCCTTAGCAGGAACTGAACCCAGGTCTCTCTGGACCGCAGCCTGACGTTCTAACCGCTGAGCCAAACCAGCCAGGGCCGGGGCCCTGGCCCTTATGCATCATTTTAATAAGTCTGTGAGTGTTACCAGGTGCCAGCCGCTGTTTATTACATTTGGTGTCTTAACAAGTAATGTATCAATCAGTTAGGAAGACAGAGAAAGGTAGGACAGATAACTTGTTCTCCCAAAACTAGTATCTTTTACATAAACCCCCAAATTCCTACAGATTTTACTGCAGAAGTAAGGAAAAAATGCTAACCATTCCCTAAGTTGTCATGTATACTAAGCACCCAACAATACATTTTCCTAAGTGGTTTGTTTTACAGAAAACAAAAAAATGTCCCTTGCTACAACTGAATAAAAATATAAATAAAAATTACCAGCTCCAAATACCAGCAGAAATTATTAAACTACACTCTAGAGACCTTAAATTGCTTCCCTACTATTGAACTGAGTCCTAATAAATACATAGGAATAAGCCGTTTTCTCAGTGTGAAGACCCAGGAGAGAAACAAGATGATGCCCCTTCATCACAACACATTAGCTAGTCAAAGGAAGTGATTATAAGCCGGCAGAAATGTCTCATGCACCTACCACCCAGACCTTTTCCTTTTATCAGCTCTCAGCACGTTTTTTAGTAAGATTCTACCTCGTGAGAACAAAAGATTGCCTAGGCTTGAGGAGGGAAAGAATAAAAGATTCCATGGAAAATAGCTGCTATAATATAACTGTGGTTTAGCTTAAGTCAGCTCTCCCCCTGCTTTCCAACGTTATTACTGCGCACTGAGTTCAGCTGGGTGAGTTTCCCATGAAACAGCTTAAGCTGGCAACTGTTAGTCACAATGCTTTGATGAAGCCTCATCACTCTTCACATAAACAACCTTGGTCCTCAGCTTCCTTCCTGTGAAAGGTCAGCCTAGAACAGGATTTCCCAAGCTCTGTTCCTAAGAACATGGTCTCAAAAAGTTGTCCTCGAGAACGCAAAGCATCCCATGGGGAGCAGGTATTCTATCTAACTCTTTAAATGCACAACAGCATATTTTAAAACTTGGATAAAAGAAACCTGTTACCTTCCTATAACTCATAAATTTCTAAATTTACTTGTGACAGAAGCCATTTTTTTTAATGTAAAGAATATACACCTTATGGAATTAGTGTTCCATAAAACTTAACTTCAGTACACGAACCTAAAAGCACACATAAGCCCTTTTGAAGTAATTTTCCATAATTTAAAAAAATTAATCACATTCATCAAGTAGATTTACTTTGGGCTAATACACATAGAATAATTCTGTGACATAGAAGACCTTCTAGTAATGTCACTTATTGGAATAAGAATTTACCATTATATCTCATCTCTCCTTTTTTTGTTATCCAAGTAACCCAACTCTGGAAAATGTGAAGCTATGAGTGTAAAAATCTCTACAATGTAAGGAAAATCATTTTAATGAAAAGAAAGGAATACTGATCTCCTTCAATGGGCCAAATATTCTGGTAGAGAAACAAGGCACAGTCAATATCCTGAAAGTCCTTATCTATTAAGTATTAGAAGCAAGTAACTACATACTGTAAGACGTGCAGAGGAGTCTCTGGAAGAGGCGCTGCTACACAAGGTGCAATGGAGCCCAGAGGAGCCTGGCACGTCCTTCTCAAGCAGCTGACAAATTACCGAACCACGGTGTTGGATTCCTTAAAGTATTTTTATGATTTATATGATTTGATATTGGGGTTACCTCTCCCTGGGAAAATCTTGGGTGTAACAAGCTAAAACAGATCTAAAATCATGACTGTCGCCCTGGCCAGTTTGGCTCAGTGGCTGGAACGACGGCCCGCGGACTGGAGAGTCCCAGGTTCGGTTCCCACCAAGGGCATGTACCTCGGTTGGGGTTTGTTCCTGGGCCCGGTTGGGGTCGTGTGGGTGGCAACCACTTGATGTGTCTCTCTCACATCCATGTTTCTCTCTCTCCCTCCTGTTCTATCTGAAGATAAATGCAAAAAAATAAATAAATAAAGGTCTTCGGGTGAGAATAAAAAAAAAATCATGACTGTCAATGGCTGTCAGAAAGAAGAAAAAAAGAAAGCCATTCCATTAGACTGTTAAATTCTTTATCAACTCGCAATAAATATATTAACATCTAACTCAATAGGGCACTCAAAGCAGGCATAATCCCCCAAATGGTTACTTTGTAAGCTAGAAAAACAAGATAATTCCAATTCTATGGATGTAAAAACATCAGTATAATTAAGGTAAAAACAGAGAAGACTTCTCAACCTAAAGCCTCCCTTTCACTATCCCTTCCTGGCTATGTATGTGAGAACTTATTTTGAAACTGCCAAAACATAGGAAAAATGTTTAGTAGCTAAAATGTATTATTGAACTATTCTCTAAATATTACCAACTTATATAAAAATTCTTCTAGCCCGGCTGGTGTGGCTCAGTGGGCTGAGCATCGTCCCATGGACTGGGAGGTCCCAGTTCAGTTCCCAGGCCAGGGCACATGCCTGGGCTTCAGGCCTGATCCCCAGTAGGGGGCGTATTAGTGGCAGCTGATCAATGTTTCTCTCTCCCTTCCTCTCTAAAAAAATCAATAAAAACATATTTTAAAAAATTCTTCTAGGATATGGAATTCTAATCGGTTAAAATGCTAGATTAATTTTTAATGTAAATTGGTTACTAAGTTTATTCCTGAGCAGTCTATATTATAAATGATTTCAAATTGTTGGAATAGTTCCACAGACTTTTCATAACATGTTGACCATGCTGTTTCTCTAAAATAGTTTAACAATCACAAATATTTGGACCTA